AGGCAGAATAATAAAATAGATAGATAGATAGATAGATAGATAGATAGATAGATAGATAGATAGGAATGTGTACTGAGTCACATAGATATGAATATAGACGAATAACTCGCTAGGAAGAAACTGAAGGCTATTAGACTAAGATATACTAAGAAGCAATAAGACTGATATAAAGATATACAGCCTGATGAAGATAGAGATGAATTAAAGGATTGATGTGCGACACTAGTAACTTCTCCGTACCATCATGGCGGACGCAGTTATATTGAAAGTGTTCATATCAATTAACTTATAAAGATCTATTAATTATGGATGGATAAATTACATTTCGACGTTCGAGTTAAAGGAATAACACACATGATCTTCTCAATTAGTGAAAGTACTAAAGCTAATATAGATATTATATATAAGTAATGAAACAGTTCTGTAGTGAGTCCACTGACTAAATTATAGTACGCTTAACCATATCAGTATGGATGTATTTCACACTAGATACAATTATGTCAAACTAATTACGATAAACATATATATATATATATATATATGTGTGTGTGTGTGTGTGTGTGTGTGTGTGTGTGTGTGTGTGTGATGAGAGGAACTGTGCGCGCCCGTGTGTTAAAATTGAAGATGGAATGAATACGAGTCTTGTAACGTGCAGGTCTCAGTGAATGTATACTATTTAATTTCGGAATATTAGTCTTTTGAAATTTTATTTATATAGTATATACACATACTGTACAAAATTAATATATATATATATATATATATATATATGTAGAACTCCTTATTGTAAGATTATTTTTATAACAGACACTCGTAATAATTAGGCTATTGCCATAACGCCTGTATAGTTAGTATGAAGACTGACTCCAATATGATTGGTATCTATTCAGTTCCCTGAGGTTAGTTGTGACACAAGATCATGTCCAACATGATCTTTTTTCGACACACTCTTGACCGAAATATCGTCCAGATACGCCACTGCGAAATTGCAATCCGCCAGCATGGTATCCATGGCTTGTTGAAAAATAGCTGGTGCCACCTTTATATCAAAAGGAAGTTAAGTAAACTTATATAAACCTCTTTGTTTATTTATGGTTGTTTATTCAGAGCATTGATTTTTCAATCTGAATTTGTAAATATATTTCAGAGAGATCCAGCTTTGAAAATATATTTTTCCGCCATTCAACCTCGAAAAAATTTCTTCTGAACTCGGTAATGGATAATTGTGTATTTCAAGACAACTATTTCATCCAGTTGAGAAATCTGCGCAAACACAAATTTTGTCTTTTCTTTTCTTTACGTACAACGTTGGTGCATCCCATTTCGAATGGTTTATTTTCTGGAATAAACCAATTCTTTCTAGTCTGCCTAACTCTTCATTTACTTGTTCTAATGCTACGAATGGTACACTCCGTTTCAGTTTAAATACTGGCGTCGAACTTTTGTTTTACTTGAAAATTGGCCTTGAATTTTGAAAACTATCCAAGTTCATGAGAGAATATCAGAAAAATATTTTTTTAAATCTTCCTTCAGATTTTCGTTCTGACTTTTTAAATTGGTCTCTTGTACACTTGCATTTTTAAAATAAACAACAAATCCCACAGTTCGAATAGTTCCATCCACTCCATACCTAATAGATTCGTCGCATTTCTTAGAACATGAGCTTTTGTTTTTACCTGCTTATTTCGAAAATAAAACATCACATGTTAATTTTCCCCGCAAAAATGATTTCTACTCGGAAACTGAAGTTGTGACTTTTTAATAAAGGCTTTTCAACTTCTTTCCACGTCGTTTCATTTACTATTGAAATAACACTACAAGTATCTTGTAACATTTTTACTCCCACATTATTGATTTGCACGTTAACAAATATTCTTTTGTTTCGTGTACCTATTTTTTCTATCACAATATTGTGTATTAATTTCTTCCTGCGAAAAATTTTTCTTGGTTTAGTTCTGCAGTGTGATATGTCCTTTTTTATCAAACTTATTGTATTTTGCATTTTTCCATGGACAGTCTTTCCCAAAATACAATTTTCTACATCTGAAACAAGGTTTTATATTCCTTTTTGTGATTTTTTTTAGCGTTCAATACACATTCTCTATTCTGAAATTTTTCAGAATCCTGCTTGAGACTTGCATTGTTTAGTAATCGTCCATTATTTCCTGTATTGTTACATTATTATTATGTTCAACATCTTTTTCCGCTGTTATTACTTACACGAAAATGAATCTCTTGAACTGGAGTCATTTTTCTTTAGTTTAAATCGTTCCCATTCTCTGTTGACAGTTTCCGCATACGTGATAAAATCTTCATACTTTTTTTTGGTTAAATTCATGCACCTCCAGCGAGCATGGAATAAAGAACACTTGTCACTAAAAAAAAATTCGTCAGAATGTATACTGTGTTTTCAAACCCTATTCCACCTAACTTTCTGGGTAAAATCTAATTGCAGTACTTTTCAAACGCTATTGGAGCTATTTTTCTTAACAAAAACTTGGATTTTTATCTTTTCCCCAGCCACTCCATTCTTGACTAAATATTTCTTCATGTCTGCGAAAATACGCAGCAAAAGTCAGTTCGTCATCAGGATTGTATACGAATTCTGATACGGTGTTTTCGCCGCGTCTGGGGTAAGAGACGTTGAATTATTTTTCTTCAAAATTATTTCCAACAACTCCTATTGTTTCTGCAACTGTTGGGTATTTTGTTGTTGTTGCTTCTGCTGTTGTTGTTGAATTTCAACTGTTGAAGCCAATTTTTTTCCTATTTGCAAGCAAATATTTTTTTTAAAAACTGACGTGGTTCAAATTCTTGTAACTTCTGTTGCACAGTTATAATCTGGTCACCCACTATTATAACTCCAGTTATAATGTGGGGCTGCTTATAACGAGCTTATGTTCAATTTCCCTCATCATCTATTGTTATATCTCCATCTATAATGTTGCGCTTGAATTAGAGATCATCGTCGCCAACTATGAAAACCCCCTATTATAAGTTTGTTATAACATACACTCATACTTGGTATAGCGTAATTCGTTAATTATTCTCTACATATATATATATATATATATATATATATATATATATATATATATATATATATATATATTGTAATCCCCTAAAATTGAATGAATAGCTTTATCATCCCAAACCAAAACAAAACTATTGAATAAGCGATATAAGCAAATTTTTACTACGTTAATAAAACACCGATTAAAATAGAAATAAATAAATATATAAGATAAAAATAAAAAATAAAAATAGAAAATAAAAATAAAAACAAGCAAAATAATTAAATAAATAAACGACTTCAAAATAACCGCCAAAATAGAGTACCCACAATGCACCACTGACCTGTTTATATAAATAGCTGAGAAAAAAAACATTCATGGCCTGACGATTGCGTCTGGCATGAAACAACCTGTTGCCTCTAAGTGTTGACTTCAATGTTCACTTTTTTATATATATATATATATATATATATATATATAAAGCGAGGGAGTGAAGTAAAAGAGAAGACTGAGAATAGGTTGAAGAAAGGACAAAAGATGAATGTGGTTCATGGGGACAGTAGATGGCGATTGATGGTACATTTCAATTTTTGAAGATTGTATGGTTACAAGGTTATCAAGAAAATAAGTTAACGAAAGGGAGATCTACAGGCGGAAAGTGCGAGAAAATAAACTATTGGAATCGAAGTGGCGGTTGCATTTAACTATTTCAACAGTAAAAGGGTGAGACGTCGATGGCAGTCTACTAGCCCGCTTAAATTCGTGTATTCGAGGCACCACGGAAATAAAGCTCGTAGGAGCAGTTGCCATGAAAATATTTGTAGAAGACAGAGAAGCCACGTCACGTCAGTGAGAAAGCCGAGATGCCGGGTCAGGATCGAATCTGATATATTCTTAGACTAACTGGATGAAATCGCCAGTTTCCTGGTTATCTACTGCGAAAACATAATGTCCGATCAGAACCGGATCTCCGAAAAATGTGATCTTCTGTGCCAAAAAATAAACTACAAAACATGGAGGTTTTAAATAAACAAATGCCAGTCTGGAGAGAATGTGCAAAGACAAGTAGAGAAATAAATTCTTGAACAGAAAGGAAATCAAAAAGAAAAAAACATTGGGTAGGAGAGTAAGAATAACGGAACAAAGGTAGAATTCTTTTTTAATTCATTGTCGGTATGGGCCGCCTGGGAATCGTAACAATACAGCATAAAAGTTACAAGATTGGTTTGTCTATGTATGTTGTTCTATTCATGTACCCACGCAGGGGATCGGTGATTAGCTAAATATTTAAAATGTTTAAACAACTTGAGAATGACAGGTACAATTTACATTTAAATAAAAGTTCACTGAGTGCTTTGGTTGAAAAATGAAAAAACGTCAATTCTGTTTTTTTGTTTGTTTTTGTTTTGTTTTTTTTTATTTGTTTGTTTTTTTTTTTTTTATAAAGACCAGTTTGTATCATGCGTTGAAAATTTAAATTCACTATTTGAAAACTTAATTTTTCACCAGATACAAAAAAAAAACAGACGTCACACCTCGCCTATGTCACGACACTCATTAGTTGTACGAAACAAAATAATTCTATCTACCTACCCTGATAATGAATAAAGAAAGTCAAAATCTTAGACTATATTTCTTGTAGTTTCCTTCCGAAAAAAAACTTTGGACAACTTCTGACGGAATTGCATCCTTGCTTCAGAAATATTATTCATAATTTGTAAAATTCCATCATTAAAATTAAGAGACACGAAATGTTTTCTATTTTTAATACTATCTGCCTTAAAAGTATATATATATATATATATATATATATGTGTGTGTGTGTGTGTGTGTGTGTGTGTGTGTGTGTTCGTGAATAAGGCATATTTAGGCAGTAGGTCTTCATCCAAACAAGTTTCATTAAAAAGAACTGATAGGTCTTTCTGCTTAATTTTTAATGTATTTTTTACAAGATGTTGAATATTGTGCATATACATGCATACACACACACGCGCATATATATATATATATATATATATATATATATATATATATGTGGCCTGACGATTTCATATAGCATGAAACAGATTGTCGCCTCTAAGTGTTGACTTCTATGTTCACTTTTATATTTACACATACTCTATCTCTAATATTGAGCACTTTATTCCATAAATATAGCATACCTTAAGACTATATTTCTTTATATATATATATATATATATATATATAGAGAGAGAGAGAGAGAGAGAGAGAGAGAGAGAGAGAGAGAGATAATACTATCCA